TTTTTTTTTTTTTTATATATAAATAGGTTCTGGAGATCAAGCTCAGGTTCCAGTGCTCGCAAGGCAAGTGCTGTGCTGACTGAGCTCTCTCCCCAGCTGGTACTATTGCTTCTGGATGTCAACTGGGTATGAATTCAGAGTCCTCTGCCCCTTGTAGGACCTCCTTGTAGCTTGTGCTAACAGCCTGCTTCAAGTAAGGTCGGTGACGACGATGAAAACAGATGACATCTCCCATGTGCCCAAGAACTGTTCTGCAGGGGGGACATGGTTTGTACTGAATGCCAGCCTTCAGCATTTCATTATAGGCAAGTCAACCCATTGAAAATTTGGGGGGAGGAAAACAATGGGACTTTGGCAATGCAATACCTTAGTATTCTGTGTGTGTGTGTACACGCATGTGCTTATGCACAAAGGTCTTTGTTTATGGAGGTCAGTGGTCAATATGAGATTTTTTGGGGGGGGGGGTTTCTGAGACAGTTTCTCCATGAAACAGCCCTGGCTGTTATGGAACTCACTTTGTAGACCAGGCTGGCCTCGAACTCACTGAGATCTGCCTGTCTCTGCCTTCCAAGTGCTGGGATTAAGGGCATGTGCCATCACTCCAGCTCAACATCAGATATTTTGCTCAACTACTTTCTACCCTATTTTTTGAGACAGGGTCTCTTCCCAAGGACCTGGAGCTCCACAGTTTGGCTGGGGAGACCTGGAGATCCTCCTGTCTCTGCCTTGCTAGCACTGAGACCACAGGTATGAGCTAGCATGACAGTTTTCATTTTTTAAAACAATTATTTTTATTTTTTAAAGGTTGATTGTTTATCCTCCACCACCTACCAAAGGGGGCTTGGGAGTAACTAATGAAGATTTGGAATGTTTAGAAGAAGGAGAATTTCTTAATGATGTAATCATTGACTTTTATCTTAAGTAAGTACAATAATGATTTCATTTGTTTTAAAGGTTTTACTGTAAAATTTAAGCGCCTTTTTTTCAGTTGTACTCAGGATTGAACCTAGAGCCTTTTGCATATTAAGAAAGAACTCTGCTGTTGAGCTGTTCCCCTGCCTGAAAATAAGTATCTGTATCTGAACTATTTTTAATTTTAGTTAAGAGTAACTTGGCAAGATTTCAGATTCAGAAAGCATTTTGCCTACCAGAAAGAATTTTACTGAAGTTGACTAATTCAGTTGTATTCTCTCACGATCTGTAGACACTACACATGTCAGAAGAGTTATTGCTTGCTGTTTCGACTTAGTTTTTAATGTGTTGATTTTTTGATGTGTACTTTTTGAACACTCTGTATTGTGGTGAAGGAAATATTTACAAAATTCCAAACACTTTGGGGATGGAAAAGAAACAAGTCTTTTCATCTATCTTTCGTCAGTGTTCTGGAGGCAGTAGGACCTAAGGAATGGAGCTGATAAGCGAGGCAGACTAAAGTCTCATGCCATAGCCAGCTTTATTTAGAGCATCAGACAGTCTATACGGTCACCTGAGTAAAGGTCGAGTGTATACAGTCACAAGGACAAGGCACACGTGGCAAAACATGCTTTTCCATAGAGTATATAAAGACTAGTTTAAACATTTAGTTGAATAACAACAGCAAGGAATAATCAGTAATCTGAAGTAAACTCAGTCCCATCTGCTATCCCTGGGAGGAGCATGAGAACACATTCCAAGAACAAGTCCATGTGTTTGAAGAAACAGGTCACTGCACTCTTGTTTTCTTGGAGTGTTCTCACAAACATGGCTCTTCACATGGCTCCATTTCTGGACTGTGTTCTGACTGCCATTAAGCACCCTAACAGTTAACTGTCATTTAGAAAATCCATCATGATTGCAGTAAAATTTTAAACTTAAAAAAAAAAAGTCAACTTTTTGGGCAGTGGTGGCACATGCCTTTAATCCTAGTACTCAGAAGGCAGAGACAGGCAGATAGATCTCTGTTGAGTTCGAGGCCAGCCTGCTCTACAGAGTGCGTTCCAAAGCTACATAGAAACCCTGTCTCCAAAAAAAGAAAGAAAGAAAAAAAGGCAACATGTTGAATAGAAAAAGTTTTCAGGAATAGCTATGAAAGCCCTTTAAACGTCCATGTAATCCAGGTATAGGGGAACAGCCCTTTAATCTTGGCATCCACGGGGCTAAAATTCAAGGCCAAACCAGGCTATATGGTGCAATAGCCTGTCTTAATAAACCCAAATAAAGCCTAACTAAAATACAAAAACCAAAACAAAACAAGAACACAAGTAATTCCTAAAGCCTTTTTGTGCAAAGAAAATTTGTTTTTACTCTTCATTTTGCACTATATCCCTAGACTAAAAATTTCTAGCACTCAATTGAAAGAAATTTTTTTTTTAAAGATTATGAATTTATTATCATTTGGACTCACTTTTAGTCATAATTTTATTTTATTCTAGTCACAAAGACTCAGAATCTCACATTATTACATATTTATAAAGATACACTTTACAGTGTCTAGAAATTCAGTTTGAATCTTTTTTATATCTTCCACTTGGGAATGCAATTCTGATAATTTCATGTATTTTGGTTTGGTCTGTGTAAATTATGAATTGGCATCATTGCTGGTTTTTCTCTTTTGGCTTTTTGAGAGTTCCTCTGTGTAACCCTGGCTGTCCTGTAACTTTGTAGAGCAGGCTGGCCTTGAACTCACAGAGATGTGCCTGCCTCTGCCTCCCATGTGCTGGGATTAAGGTGTGTGCTGCCATTGTTCAACAGTTTTCTTTATGAGTCATGCTTTGTAACTTTGAATGCTTTATGATTTTTGTTGACGATTAAGTGTTGTTGCGTTTCTATAAATGTGTCAGTTTTTTAAGACACAGTTACAATACCTGGAAGTAGTCTGGTAATTTCAAGTCTTGTTTTAAAGATAGTTATCCTTATCACTTGCTAAAATGAGGCCAACAAACTGATTTCTGTTACCAAGGAGAGACTCTCCTGAGTACTGTGTCCTGTGTCATGAATTATGACATTGCCCAGTTTTACTGGCAAAAATATATTCCATTCTTCATCTGGGTGAATTCTGTCTCCCATTCCCTGTTTTTACTTTGGGATATTGTTCTCTAACTTGAATACTTTCCTTACCCCAACACACACACACACACACACACACACACACACACACACACCCCTTTCCTTACCCCAACACACACACACACACACACACACACACACCCCTTTCCTTACCCCAACACACCACACACACACACACCCAGAGCTACCCTGAAGATACAAGGAGCTGCAAGCAGTCCTGAGTTCTCTGTCTCTACCCTTTTTCTTTCCTGTGCTCTAATTTATACATTAATCACATTCACGTGATTATTTGGTCAACATTTCCTTCTATTTTTACTTCTTTAGGTTGCAGATACTACCCTTCTACTGTGTGTCCTGTGTAAATGTGCCGCTTGATACATGTTAGGAACTTGGCAAATACTTATTAAATAAGGGTGCAATTTCTACTTTAAGTGGTAGTTTTGGAAGGCAAGAAATAGCTAAAATAACTAAAAGAGAAGCTGGAAGCCCAAATCATAGAAAAATGCAAAATTTCTTTGAATTTAGCTGGATATAACAGTAATTTTTAGTTTATAAAAGGTAACTGAAGAAAATGAGTAAAATCTAAACACAGTTTACTTTGTGGGCTTGCTCCTTTACAGGTATCTGATGCTGGAGAAGGCTTCAGATGAACTTGTTGAACGGAGTCACATTTTTAGTAGCTTTTTCTATAAATGTTTGACCAGAAAGGAAAATAATTTAACAGAGGATAATCCGGATCTCTCGTAAGTCAGTCTAACGTAATTAAGGCTTTAAAGGAAGTTACTGTGTGTATATGTGTGTATCCTGCGCGTGAAGGTACAATTAGAGAGAGTCCGTTCTCTCCTTCTACCATATGGAGCCTGGGGATTGCATGAAAGTCACCAGGTTTGGCAGCAGGTGTGGCAATCAACGGAGCCAGCTCTCTAACTCTTAAGTTTTAAGGCAAAGGAGACTGCTGTTTTCATGCTCCGAGTGAAGTGTCTTCATTGTACTAACCCCAAGAGCAAGCATATTAACAGTTTTGCAGGTCCCTGGTTTGTCAGCGTGAGAACCATTTTTATCCTTTCACTGCTCGCTCTGTAAGAGGGAGGTGGTGTGATGCTGGTTCTTGCCGGCTGTGTTTTCAGTGCGGATACTCGAAGTTAAGAGAGCAAGGAATGAAAAGCCAGACTATTTCTTCCCTGTCGTTTTTACTTTTGATGTGGTTTTTACCAGAGGTTGTATTTCCTCTGCACATATCTCTTACTGGACATGGCTGCTGGCTCTTTAACTTCCACTTGGGGGCACTGCTGCTTTCTTTACCGTCCTCCCTAGACTAGAGCAGTGCCTGCTGTGCTAATCTCTGATCACCTCACTGGCCTTTTAAAAAGGTGTACTTTCCTGCGTTATATTCTGTAACAAAGATGTAGGGCTGTGGTTTGTTTTTTTTTCTGGTTAGTTCCTTGCTGACATGCTACTTTTCATTAAGTTAGTATAATATAATATGAAAACCATTTTTATTTGTGCAATTTTGCTAAATTTCTCTATTCAGT